GAAGGAGAACCTCCCTCGACCTGCTGGCCACACTCCTCTTGATGCATCCCAGGATCCCATTGGCCTTCTTGGCAGCCAGGGCACACTGCTGGCTCATGGTCAACCTGTTGTCCATCAGGACACCCAGGTCCCTCTCCACAGAGCTGCTCTCCAGCAGGTTTGCCCAAAGCCTGTACTGGTGCATGGGGTTGTTCCTCCCCAGGTGCAGGACCCTGCACTTGCCCTTGTTGAACCTCATCAGGTTCCTCTCTGCCCAACTCTCCAGCCTGTCCAGGTCTCGCTGAATGGCAGCACAGCCTTCTGGTGTATCTACCACTCCTCCCAGTTTTGTGTCATCAGCCAACTTGCTGAGGGTGCACTCTAACTCTTCATCCAGGCATGCTCTGCAGCTGTGGGCACATATTCTGGCTGTGCAGGGCCTCCTGGCTGGAGGGTGAGAAGGGTCACCAGGGGTTGCTGCCTGCTCAGAAGAGGCTGCCTCTGGACACCTGGGCAACAGAGAGACAAATACCCTGGAGACAAATGCCTCTGTGGGGCATTTGGTAAAATGGAGCAAAGCCAGGTCCTGCCTTGCTATGGTCTCCCCAAGACCATCCTTGTCCTGCGTCCATACTGTTAGTGTTAATAAGGAAGAACGAAACTGTCCAGGTTGGGCAGAAGGGAAACAAATTTCTGCGGAAAAGGGGAAAAACTAGCAGGGCTGCCTCAAAGAACATGCTCATGGGCACACATGCCCACTCTCACCTGTCCAGAGACACTGGCTTCAAGGGAGCATAGTCCCAGACCATTTCTTCAGCCGCAATGTAGTGAGTCCAGGTCACAGGCTTCTCTTTTGCAAAAGAGCGCACTTGGATCACATGATAAGTTTCCTCATCTTCTTCAGGGTAATCCATGTCCTCTGGCTCATCTGACAGCTTCCCCATCTTCATCAGGCGCTCCTCCAGACACTCCTCCACCTTCACAATGGCCTCCATGCCAGCTGAGTTCAGACAAGCCAGGCAGAAAGGGTCACATGAACATGCCAGCACAGGTGCATGCTCCCCCAGGCTCTGCTTGGGAGATGTCCTCTCCACTACTGTCCCCATCAAATGGACTATCACATGAGTCAACCTATGCCATCCTGGTCACAGGCCAAATTGCACATGCATGTAATACTATGGAGCAGGATGGACCTTGGAGCTGCAGCACTGCATAGAACCCTGAGCCCAGGCCTTCCCCTGAAATTCTTTTCCCCCTAGCTCTTGCAGAATAAGGTTACCTTGCTGATGGGACAGTAACTGGCAGAACATCCGAAACCAGCCAGCTGTTCCTGGCATGGTCTGGGCTGTGAGATACGTGGCAGGGGAGATTTCTAGGCTGCTGAGACGGTGGTTTCTCACCAGGAATGTGTGGGCTTCGAAGAAGATGGAGTGGACTTCTGGCCCAGTGCCCAACCCAATCACGTGCCAGTGGACCAGCTTCTTGAGGCACAGTGTGAGACCTGCCAGGAGAGAAGGAAAGAACCCAGGAGTCATCACTGTATCCATGTCTTGTCCCCACTCTTGGTGTCATGGACTCAGAGCCTGACATGTGCTGAGTAGAGTTCCCTGCCCCGCAAGGTGGTGGCTTCAAGGTAGAGAAGTCACATATGAATGTGGACTGAGCAAAACAGAAGAGCAGGCCACATCATGCCCTTGAGATAAGACTAGATTTACAGAGTGAGAGACTTTTTGGGAGACATGCTGATGGGAGCTCACAGTGGGATGCAGTGGCAAAAGAGGTAGATGTGCTTCTTGACTGTATAAATAGGGGAATCAGGAATAGGAAAAGGGAATCATGTGTCTGATCACAACACTGGCAAGCCTGATACTAAAATATTGCATCTGGGGCAGAGATCCCATACATCTTCAGCAGTAGTTGAAATACCCCAAAAAGGGCAGAGAGAGGTCACCAGGATTATTTGAAGGCTGGAGAAAATTCCTTCCTTGGAGAGACTCAAAGAGTGCAGTGTGCTTAGGAAATGGGAGAGGACTTGACTGCATCATAAAAATATTTTCCTGGGAAGAAATGAGTGTGTGCTGAAGGGCTCTGTAATCTATCAGGGAAGTGAATAACAAGAACAAGTTCCTGGAATCTGAAGCCAAACAAAGACAAATACAGAGTCAAGCACTTGTTTTTGGCACTGAATGAGACAGATGACTGGAACAGATCCCAAGAACCTGGCAGGGGGCAGGGCGGAGGCTCCATCCTGAGGCACTCGGCTCTCCATCGCCACCTCTCCATCAGACACCTCTCAGGCCAGGTACCGCAGCCAGACAGGGGGTTGCTGGGCAGAGACGGATACCTTCTCAAGGGGAAACCCACTGTGCAGACACAGCGTCTGACCATGAGCTCTACTCAGCTCTTAAGCTCCATGGATCCACCAGGACAGGGAATTCAGGGGAGTTTTATTTTTGCCTTTTATTGGAGAACGGCTAGACCTCAGTGGGATGTTTCAGGGTGTTGTTCACCAAGGCTGCTGATGGTAATGACTCTGCTGTCAGTGTTTCCCAGTTTGCCTTGGAGATTCTTCACTCTCAGGCAGCTCTGAACCTTCTTCCAGAAGAATGTCAGACAATGTCAACTTTTGTCTTCACTGAGACCACAAACGGGCTTTTCTTTTGCTTTACTGAAGAAAAGGAGGCTGAGGGGAGACCTTATCACTCTCTACAACTACCTGAAAGGAGGCTGTAGCGAGGTGGGTGACAGTCTTTTCTCCCAAACAGCAAGTGATAGGACAAGAGGAAGCAGCCTTAAGTTGCACTGGGGGGGGGTTAGATTAGATATTAGGAAAAATTTCTTCACTGAAAGCGTTATCAAACACTGGAATGGGCTGCCCAGGGAAGTGGTTGATCACTGTCTCTTGGAGGTATTTACAAGACGTGTAGGTGTGGCACTTTAGGGACATAGTTTAGCAGTGGACTTGGGAGTGCGGGTTTACAGTTGGACTCAATGATCTTAAGGCTCTTTTCCAACCTAAATGATTCTATGATTCTATTCCCCAAATCCTACAGAGGTGTGTGTTAGACACAGGCTAGTGAGAGCTGAATTTTCTCCTCAACTCTACCTCTAGCCTTGTTCACAGGGCTACAAGAGATGAAACTCTATGCTACCAGCACTATTCCTGGAGACCTCTGAGAAGGTCAACTGCACCTGGCAACATAAACAGCTGGAAACAGGTCCTGCCTCACTGTAAATGGGCAAGGCAGATCAAGGAGTTGAGATGTGATGATAGTCCCTCTGGGGTGAACACAGACTAACAGATCCATCACCTGGAAACTCCTCTTGATGTCCCTTTTCACATCTTTTCACAAGTTACCTTGAGTTCACAGACCTGGCTACACCCCTGTTCCTAGCACCTCCCATGCCCTCCATCCCTGTCCCAGGCACACTGGTACTCACCAGGCAGTGAGCCGTTGATGTAGCCATTGATGGTGTGCATCTCCGTCCTGTTGTTAGGCAGGTTCTGAGGAGCTGTTGGGGAGCCAGGCTCAGAGTACCAGCTTTTCCCTGTGGAGAGAGGAGTATGCAGTTAGTTTTCACTTGAGGGCATTTCAAAGGAAAAGGAAATTTTCCCACCAGAGTGAAACAGTATGAAAGCCAAAATCCAGGGAGGTCAGATGTGTGGTGCCTGTTGGAAACCACAGCAGACTTGGCCACAGCTCTGCATGAATGTAGTGGTGACCACTGTGTGTGACAAGGCATTACTACCCCGCAGCTTTAGCCTGTGCGATGGGAAGAAGGCCAGGGTATGGGATGGGAGAGCTGGTGGGGGGCTGCCAAAGAGTGGCAGTACTGCACCAGGAGCACATTGGCTGGGGGGGCTGTACAAGGCTAAAACCCTTGGGAGGAAGTGTGGGAGCTGAGCAGCTGCGCTCACACTATGGCCAAAGCATGCACCTCAGACCACAGTACCCCGACAGGGTAGTTACCTTCATCAAACACTGTGAAAAGCATCACAAACTCTTGTTCCGTGTTCTTGTTCCCGTCGCTCACCAGGGTCCCTGCAAGATGCCACAGAATGGATCTCTTTAAAGGTCAGCAAGCACCATGCCCATCTTGCTTCTCTTTGTGCCATCTCTTTGTGCCGTCCAAGAACTGGCAAATCAAGGCCAGGGTGTGGATTGCTTTTGTCACATCTCACTACTGGCACAGCCCTGTTTTCAGCCTTGCAGCCCCCAAAAGCCCATGGCTGAGAGGCAGCTGCCCCCAGAAGGCATCAAAAGGTCAGTTTGTGCTGCCTTCCCCTCACAGGCTCTCAGGATCCACTTAGTCACCTGGAAGAGCCCATTTCATCTAGCTCCCTCATCAGCACCACCATCTAGACTTCCCCTCAGTGGAGAAACTGCTCTTAGTGAGTCACTGGAGCCTGCAGACAGTGCCCTGGGAGGAGGTGACTGGTGCCCATTCCTCTCCAGTGACTACAGAGGGGTCTGGACAATATCCAGGAGATGACTCAACCAGGAGTGACCAGTCCCACCCGAGGTACACTTCTTGGTGCCTTGCGCCTGGCAAGGTATTAACAGTCAGGATTTCATCACCTCCTCATTTACCGAAGGAAGGAGAGCAGGCACAGGTACTGTGGACCAGGCAGTGCCCGGGGTGTCCTGTCTCTCTCTTGCCTGATCCTTAACCCTTGCTGATATAAGCTTCCCTCTAGTTCTTCTGACAAAACTCTTTTTGACAAAGCATCCTGGCTGACATTGAACGATCACAGCTTGGTGAAGTTCTGAAGGAAAGACAAACATTTATGCCTCCATAGCAATTCACCTTATGGATAGATAAGGTTCAGATGCAAGGTACAAGATTTCATCTGTGGTATGAAATCTTGCAAAGGAAAGAAGCAAACGATTTCATGCTAGCAGGGAAATCCAAAGTGTGTTTGGCTCCTACACTGGGAAGGGACTCTGAGGAAAGGGCCAAACCCTGAAAGAGCTATTATTGACCACAGCTTTCCAGCTCCACTGCCATGTTCAGCCTCTGGAACGTGTCTTTGATTTTTCTGCTTTTCAATTCACGGTTGCGTGTGACCTATCCCCATCCTGTGTGGTCCTTACCAGGTCGGCACACGAGCAGGGCTCCAATCAAACCAGAGTTGATGTCCTTCACGCTGTCAGTGTTGGAGGAGTAGGAGTGGGTCAGGCATGGTGAGTCGCCATCTGTTGGGCCCTGGTTTTGCTGGATTTCCCAGATATAAGTGTGTGTTTTCCCTGGATCTACCCTGTCACCCTCCTTCTCTGGCAGACTGGTCTCATCCTCATACCCTGCACCTAAAGCCAAAGGAACAGCCAGATGTCACTGAAGGTTCATCCCCAACACACAGTGGCTACAGAAATTCCTCTTCCCCCAACCCAGAGCACAGACTCTCTTCACCCCAGCCCTCAGGGCCAGTCTGATTCCCACTGGTGATGGCTGGTCTCAGGGAAGTGAGCAGAGTTGTGCTAGAGGCTCGCTTGTTGGCCTGTGCACCCACCACATGTCCTGACGCTGGAGGGCACAGTCTTGCTGGCCCTAAGCATCCAGCCTCAGGTATAACCTATGTATTACTTCTATAACTGATAAAAGTTTGCTCTGGGCTGTTTGCTCTTCTCAGCTCGTTTCTTAGCTGGGCATGGTCTTGTGGTTTGCCCAGGCTAAGCATTCTCTGTGACTGTCTGTCCTCAGTGAGGGACATGAATAGCAGGGTCAGGGAGCAAAGTGCTGTACAAGGGCTTTCAGCACCTGGCTGTTTCCCGGCTCACCCTCTGATGCCTTCCAGTAGGACACCCCGATGGCGTGGAGGTTGTACGGGCGGGAGGCCAGGTTCTTAAATGTGATGACCACCGTGTCATAGACTTCTGCTCGGATGGTGGGGCCCAGGAGACCTGAAGGGGGGAAGACAACAGGGTCAGGCAGCTGGGATTAGGCAGCTCACACCCAGCCATGGGCCCCAAAGAGTCTGGGGTTTCCACCTGCACAATTAGTGGTTGTCCCTCACGTAGCATCACCTGCTCTGGCACCAGCAAGGCTCCTTGCATGCTGAGCAGCTCTGCTGTACTGGGACTTTACCCAGGTGCTTTCCCATTTGGGGCGAAGAAGCTGCCAGCACCCAACCCAGGGTGAGTTTGGCAGCTGTTAAGGACAGTGAGAGCTCACCATGCTGCAAGTGCTTCTTACCCATCCATGCTGGCTTGGGCTTGGGCTGCATGAACGAGGCATCAGGGTACTCCACAAAAACGGCCTTCCTGTACCGGGGAGGGACACCAGGTGTGGGGGGCCGTGTGCCTGCATGACCAGACATGCTGTAGGAGGAAGGAAAAGCCAAGGCTGATTGTGCAGCCCTGTCCATGGACGGGCAGCAGCCATCCTCTCCCTCCCCTTCCCACCAGCTTGCCTGTGCTGTGCCAGCCCCAGGGATCACTCACCCTGTTGTGTTCTTCGGGTTTTCTGACAACCCCTGCGTGTGTTTGGAAATGTTTTGCTCAGCTTACATGACAATGTGGCAGTGATTAATGTCACAGTGCTAGTCATGATGGAAGAAGACACAACGGCAGGAGGCACAGCGCTGTACCCAGCTGCAGCTGGAAGTGGGCACAGCCGCAGGCATTGCTGCTAGCCTCCTGCCTTGTGCCTTGCCTGGCTTCATGCTTCCCTACCAGCAGAGACCTGGGGCACTGGGAGTGCCACGATAACAGTGCCACGGTGGCCTCTGCCTCGCAGCCACCCCTCACTCCATCCCCAGCACCTTTGGGTGTGGCAGACATCACATCACATATAATCTCGAACATCCTCCCTAGGTGCCCCTGGGAAAGAGACTGTGTTGGGTTGCATAGAAGGTGGTGACAGTTTGCTCTGTGGTCTAAGCAATGTCCCCACATTCATTTCTTTTCTGACCAAACTGGGATTTACAGCCAGCTCCTGAAAAACTACTCCTTGTGGCAGGAGTATAAAGGAGCCTTGAACATATTTCACAGCTCACTTATCTCTGCTGGCCACTTTCTCTCTGTAAGCAGCTTAACAAATTCATTTTCCAGCATGTTTATCAGGAAAACAAAGCCATGAGTTTCTCCAGAGATTTTAGAGGCTGCGTTGTCACCCTCGGGACTGAGACCATTTCCAGTAACCAGACAGACCACTTCCAGCCTTGTTTTGTTTGGAGCAAAAGACAGGTGGTATTTTCTTCCCTCTGAGGAAGCCGGAAGGATTGCTCTCCCCCTGTGACTAAGACTTCATTCAAGCGGTGGTTCCCTTTGTGACTCTTCCTCAAGAGGAAGGAGCTGGAGTGACTCTAGGAAAGAG